AACAACAATCATTCATTTTAAGTTACTGTGTATTGACTCAACATTTAACATGTTACCGTACTTTTCTGAGCATAATACTCTCAACAAAAAATGGTCCTGCTGCATCAGCAAGAGTCCTCACAATTCAAATCCAGTGTAGGATTTAATCGAAAACACACTATATCCATTTAGGTGCTAAGATTGCTTCAATCGCCACTATCAAGATATTTCACTGTATTTTGGTAATATTTGATTAAATTATACATTTTTTTCACAGCTTCCCAAACAAACAAAACAGAAACACTGTTGACAAGCGTAGACTTACCGTATGTCACCTCCACAATGTGCTCTTAAAAGTGATACATCATTTGTGAGACAAAAACTTAACAAATGACTCTCACTTGTACCGATACACTGAAGCCAGTTCCGTATTTCTTGAAAAAACAAACCAAAAAACATGCAGACATGCAAACAAACCCAAACATGAACAGAGTTGCTCTTTATTAAGAAGTTCTTCCTCCTACGCAGCGCTGCATTGCCTCCAAACTCTTTTTGAACTTGGAGCAGAGCACTCCCTGTTGACCTCTAATATTTCTAGAGACGAGTCCGTGTGATCGCCTCAAACTGAGCAGGAAATATTGAAGTATAAGTTGGTTGGTTACAGTGACCAAAGATGGGTTGGGGAATTGAATAATGCAAATCATATCAATATTGTAACCATTTTGAGATTACGGAAGTAATCATAGTATCACCAGGACCCAGGAAACGTCCTCTATTCCAGACTAACAAGTCCTTTCTTCCTGCCTCGTGCAGATGTTTATGTGTAGACGTTTGCTCCCATATTAACAATCTTGCTTGAACACTGCACAGTGGAAATAACAACTATTGATGCCTTCTCTCCTTTTTAAATGAACATAGAGCTCCCTGTGGAGTTTTTCTGATTGAATTCCTTGGTTAGAAAAGAAACAGCAGCGTATGTAAACAGTGTTTGTAGATTACAACTCTTGTTCATTGCTGTGAGGGGGAAAAAAAGAATGAAACCCAACAATCCGTTTACTGAAAGAAGACCTCCACTCCTCATGGTTTGTCTTTAGAAAAGAGAGACATTCAATTCAATATCAAAACCCTGATGACTTAGCAGTTGTGTAAAGAGAGGTCATGAAGGGGAGAACAGGGGCACAATCAGGGATTTTGTGGACTGGTGTGGCCATTACAATCTACAGCTTAACATACCAAAGACTTACGAGATGGTTTTGGATTTTGGAAGGAAGACTACCATCACCAGTTAATGTCCAAGGAACTGAAGTGGAACTCGTCTCACAGATACCTTGGAGTACTGCTGGACATTGAACTGGACTGGTCCGCCCACTTGGACGCACTGTACAAGAACGGCTCTACTTTTTCAGACAGCTGAGGTCTTTTAACATCTGTAGGCCTCTTCTGTGCACCTTTTATCAGACTGTTGTTGCTATCGCCTTGTTCTTTGGTGTGGGAACGCGATTGGAGAGGGGTCGGAGGTGTGCCGCTGGAGGAGAGTGGAGGCTTCAGAATAGTCGAGGTATTTTCAAACAGCAGTTTGTTTTGGTTTCATGCTGGTGCTCAAGGGCAACATCTACTGGATCAAAAAGTAGCACATTTATCCTTTAAAATGGAGGTTATGACATGTTTTTTTTTTTTTTTTACAAACAGTGACTCCAAGTGGAATTAAACCTCCCCTACAGCTTGTAACAGTTCAGGTTTTTGAAAAAAATAAATGCTTGGTATAGTCTGATTTTAGGCTGACCACTTGTTTGTACTTTCAAGTATAAAAACCTGAAAAACGGAAGTCATTTGATGAGCTAGAACTAAAAACGTAAATGGACATTATATTTCTAACCGTTACGTTTCTAGAATTGCACCTTTTGTTTGTAGCTGGCATGCTGAGATGAGTTGGCAAATGTAACTTATTTATGATTGTATGATTGTGTTCATGGATGATAAAACCACCCTCTGTTGGAAACCAGCAGAGTCAGCTGTCCCATTAGCCTGCTGTGGGTGAAATTGATGCTTAGGTTGGAACACACACAGTGTTCCAGATGAGGGTAGCAGACTTAATGAAGATAGTGTGAGTAGAGTGATGACAATAACTCATCAGACCTATATGGTTTTTGTACCAGGCTGTAAAAACGGCTTTTTTGCCAGTCGTGTGTATGTGATTCTGGTGTTCCTGTAGCCAGCCTCAAGCGGGCACTCAAGGAACTGCAGGATTTTGCACTTCCGCATTGGCTTCATTTTTCAAGACCGGAGGTTGCTGCTTGAGTTATTCTTTGAAAAGGGGCGCCCACTCTCTTCTCCTTTGCCGCTTGTCTCCTCATCCTCCTCAGGGCTTTCTGCTGAATAGTGGACAGATACATTGTGCATCCAAAAAGTAGCCAATTTCCTGTAAGGAATCTGAAGGCACCTTAATGCCACAAAAAGCCGAATGAATCCATGTCGAATTCCTCATTGATGAAGCAGAATCTTCATCTTTCATCTCTGCACCAAGATGAAGATAAACCATGCGGGGTCAGGGAGCAGAAGCCAATTGGGGACTCTGCAAAGCTTACTGTCCTTTTACTGTGAATTTTATCTTGTGCATTTGTATCGTGTGCAGGAGTCCTTTCCCGTGGATCCTTACTTGTGATGTTTCACACACCGAGACGTGTCTTTGCCCCTCTGTCTGACTGAATTAGGTTATTGTGCTGATTTATTTTCCAGAGGGAACCACCCTGATGGTAGGAAACATCATTTGCTAATTAACAAGAATGTCTCCTGGCGTTTTCAAGAAAATTACAGTGTTCCCAGAGGCTTTCTAAAACAAAAACTTCTGATAAAAATCACCTCTGTAAACAGGAGAAATTTGTTGTAAGAAGTGCATAATGTACTTGTAACCAACAAGTAATCAAACTAGTGCTTAAGTAGACTAAAAGACAGGGTGATCTGAGGTGATCTTCTGTGGTTATTGGCTAGAAAAGGATGTCTGTAGATGTGAGAGTTTTAGTTTTCTGCTCTTTATGGATTAGAGGACATATTCATGCAGAGTCCTTGTACAAAGAGTTCCTCCTAGTGAGGAAATTGTAAAAGAAAACAAAATCTTAAAACCATGACAGAGTTACCCCTTAAAGTTAAGAGGAGAGCTAGGTTGGATAAAAGTTATTCAAAAAATATATTGGCCTATAAGAGAGCTCCTAATGTGAAAAACTGTTAAGATTAGTGAGGAGGGTTTTAAGGAGCTTATAGATTTCTGAAGCAGAGGAGAAAATGGCAGAAAGACGAAGAGATTGGAGACTTGTAAGGTTATCACACTGAAGGGATCATGTCGTAGATATCTCTTTGATTTTAAACTACAAAACTGAGCCAGTCTGAATATTTTTAAATCCTTCGTGAAAAAGCTTGAATTCAAACTTTTTGGATGTAACTTTTTTTAGCCAATGGTTTTATCAGTGTGCAGTTGCATGCTGAATACAACAAACTTAAGACCTGCAATGTGTGCAACATGTTTTTCATTATGACTTCTCAACAAAGGACTTAGTTTGTCCATCAAGAGGAATCAAAGAGTGTAGTGTGTTGTGGACTTTGCTGTGCAGGTCTACCTCTGCTGTGTCTTATTTATGCCAGACCCAATTGAGTGGTAGTTTGAGCGAATAAACACTTCTCTCTGGCTGGGACTGAGACAACTTTTGGCATTGCTGTCCGAGATTTCTAGTCTTGTCATGTGACTTGAAAGAGCTGCAGTGTCCTGTTCAACTTGTTCCCATGAATAAGCACAGACTCAGACAGTTGTCTCATTACAGGAGGATTTTGAACCGTTGGCTTTAACTTGAACCAATTTTACCTGTACAGTATACACCTTGTGAAGACCTGTGGGGCTACCGATGGACCCGACAAGAAGACATAGAGTCAGACAAGATAGACAATACTGAAGTGTAGGTATTGCCTGTGATTTACAGCTATAAAGAATCTCAAACATTCTTTAACTCGATGGACACAAAATCTTTTTTCATAGCTTGAAGTTCATCTGCTTCTGTGAGCATGTGAAAAGGTGACTGCAGATCTACTTCTTGGATGGCCCCATTCTCCAACAATTTGGCTTTTCCTGTCTGAGCCTTCATAAGATTGTTGACTGCAACCAGTCTTGAAAACTTGGTGCCGGCTTGGGATCTGAGGACTGTCAGCCTTTCCTTAGAAAAGGGTGGCTATCATCAATAGGTCTGAAGTACAGATTTCTAAATAACTACGGTTCTGCTTGGAAAGTGTCAGACAGCCAGCAAGCAATCAGGGTTTGCCAAACTTTTTTTTTTTGTGGTCCCTGGAGGTGCAAACCCCTCTTTATTACATTAGCCGGCCTGGGAACCTGGCTGTGTCGATCAGACTGCTCCAAGTAGTGCAAGATCCTTGGGTAGCCACTAAAACAAACTTGAAGTCAAGGTGTACCGGTGCCATAACCCTGCTGAGGTCGACTTCTCAGCAAGGGTGTTTGAGTGCTGCCAAACTGCTGACAAGTCTCATTTACTTGGAGACTCTGCTGCAAGGCCTGCTGTGTAGCTTGGCCAATCAGCTCCCCTGGAACCCACAGGAGAGTGCCAAGGGTTTCAAGGCCTGGCTCTGAGAATGGGAACAGTGCCAACCTATACCTGGTGGTCATAAAGGCTGATGCCTGCAGAGATACCATCGCTAAGGCTCTGGAGAGAAGCATCCACAGTAGATATTTTAGGGAGGATGACCAACACAAACCTCAAAACCATGTTGTTTCAGGGCTCCTATCAAAAGTCCCCCAAACGATGTCATTGGAAAAGATTCAAGGGATACTTTTTGTGATGACGTGGGCTTATTATGTATGATCTACATCATTCCAGGTCACATGATTTTGTTGATAGTAAATGCTCGATCTGTGTGTGCAATGATATACATCAATTATCATATCCCAACAACTCCTCTGGCAGTCAGGAAGAAAGAAATACCACAGAGCTTTTAGAGAGAGAGTAATTAAAAATACTTTTAATGTATACAGTATTCACATTTCATTTTCAACAGCTGGAGCACACTAAAACAGAAAGTCCAAAAGTCTGCAGTTAATTTAACAGAGGAGAGTCCGTGGCTGCACTCAAGTGTGCTTTTACATTATTATGATACCATCTGGTGTGGTGTTGAAGCGGGCAGCTAATGAAACCAGCTAGAATTAGAACTCTAAAAGGGAGAATATGGGAATGGCAAATTCCCAGAATTTGTTTTTTAAGCAAATCTTTAAATCAATCTCTTTTTTTTTTTTCTTTTTTTTTTTTGCTGCTGGTATAGTAGCCCCTTTCTGCCAAATCTTGGTTTTCATTTTTGTGTAATGAAGAAAAAGAGATAAATCAGTTGAATCAGTTTTTACAAAATGCTAAAAGCTGTGGTAGGATTATTGGTTTGTTGACACGGAATGTTAAATACAAGAACTGTAACATTGTTCTTGAGTGGCTCATTGCCGGTGATTAATTAAGTCCAAAATACATGAATGTAAGATGGCAGTTGGCAGCCATTGAGGGTGTCTTGTGAACCTTGGACTTTTTCTTGACTTCACTTAAACTTAAATGAAACTGAGTCACTTGTTTGAATGTAAATTCATATAATTAAATAGAACAAAACTGGCATTTTCAAATTGAGATTCAAAGCTCAGCAAGACACTAAAGAAAAAACATTGAAATTGGGTTTTTGAGTATATATGATAAAAAATATGACGGTATAAATAGGACAACTTTAAAGTAACGTTGTATTGAACACAGACGTACAACATTCATTAGAAAATCTAGTTATTCATATAATAATTATGATAATTAACTATCGTATTGAACTGTAATAAACATCTGATCATAGGGCTTTCCTTTTCACTTCACTTTCTGATGTCAAAAAGCAAAAATATTATTCATATGTCATTTTATTTGCGGCACTAAAGCAGATCTTGATGTGTAAATATGGTGTACTGCAATACATTTCAGTATATTTGAGGGGGGGTGCATTCACAAAATATTCACATTCAATGGTAGTCACCATAAAATACTGTTTGCATATAAAAGTTATAGTTTTAAAAGTGATTACAGATTTTCATATAATGGTTGAACACTGGAACAGTTGGTTAACAATGTAAATGGACAGTTCAGTGCATTAAATATTCATATATTGAAAAACAGTTTGTAAGAACATTAACAGCCTAACAATATATTTGGATTTGAGAAAACATAAATACACCTTCATTCTTGCAGTTCCCACTTCACACTTGCGAGTGCAGCCTTGTAGTTGTCAATTGCATGGGTAAGACTTGCAGAAAGGCGTTAGCTTCTTTTTATATCTTTGTCATTATATTGCTTGGCTTGGAAACCAGTGTAACCAATCATCAACCACACCAGTTAACCTTGTTTATTCAAATCATGTTGACCAGTAAGACATGAATTCAAGTGTTTTGTTCCAGAAATGTTCTAATCTGGTTCTTAAGGTGACATGAAATATACTACAACAATATGTTATTTTAATGTAGTAAGCTGCCAGGGTCATTCAGCTGTTCATTTGCCTTAACCCAGTTTTCTGTAGTATAAACAGAAGAAAAAAAAAACATGAATTCCTTTACATCATTTACATCCAGCTAGGACTGCTACAAAACCGCTGTTTCCACACCGTCCAAACCAGATGTGGTCAGTAGCTTAGAGAATTGGAATCAAAGTGACAATCTTAAAGATGGCTGTAAGAAGTAAATGCAGGTTATTTTTGTTTGTTTACCTCTGGTGTTTGGGTTATTATTAGCTGCAATGCTTGCTAATCAGAGGAAAACAGTACCTGTTTCCACATACATTTAAGACGAAGTGGCAGTCGGCTGTGTTCCTCTCCAGCAGATCATACACTGCCATGTTTAAAAAAAACACACTTGTGTTCTTTTTGCAGGAATTTGGCAACCGACCCATTTCATGATAATGAAATTACAAGGCAATTACTCAATGAGCCATATATGCCACCATCAGAGATCTATTCTGTATTAAGAGAGATTCATTAAAATCAAAGTCATTGCAGTTACTTTGAATCATTTTTATTTATAACTCAGCATTTCAAATAATGTGCAAACTCCAAGCCACCGTGCTTACTCTTACAATGACTTTAGTTGGGGGCGTAATGGATTACTAAGAATAAGACAAGCCCCCCCCCCCCTAATACTGGGGCTTCCTCTACTGCCTATTCTAGGATAATCACACACATGCTGGTAATGATGAGAGGCACTATTACACCGATACAACACTGGTTCAACACTCTGCAGCTACATCTCCTAGTACTGTAACCATAGAAATATATGCATCAGTGAGTCCACTGACTCAGTGTATATGCATTTAGGACTTCTACCACTTTTTACAAGTGACACTAAATCCATAAACTTCGAGTTGTATAGGTTAATAGTAACACATCCGTACTGACTTCTCTATAAATTAAAAAACAAGTATTTTGGAAACGAACCTTGCAAAAGTTTATTTCCGCAGTAATAGTGTTTTTGTTTTATTACTTGAGTGATTTATTCATACTGTAAGATCTTTAAATTATTGTACAAAAGAGTTGGATAGCATTAGGCTAGTTAATTTCTTTAGGTAATTATCTCAAATGTATCATCTGTGAACTCTTAAAACTCTGTGCCATAAACATTTAAACTGTATCTTTAAAACTGCAATCACTCAATCATTTGCCAGGAAACCATAAACTGCTCAACCATGATTAATTGCTGTAGATAAATAAGAGATTTTATCATAAAACAGTATTTTTTTTAATAGAAATGGTATACTTTAAAGGTCACATATTATGCAAAATACACTTTAATATGTTTTTCAATCAATGTGTCCCTAGCCTGTCTACAAACCCCCCGATTATGAAAAAGTCCATCTGTCCTTCTTTTGCCTGCTCCACATTCAAGTAAATGTGTGCATTAAACAAGCCGTTTGGTGATTTTCCCTTTGTGACATCACAAAGGGCAGTAACCCCTCCCCCACATGGGTGACACTCTCACAGCTAGGTGTCTTTTTGGCCCCTCTGAGTTCGCCTTTCCACTGTGGATTTTTAGCAAGAAACTTCACAGACATGTTTCAGGGACGTCTCGGAGACTTATTTAAACTTGTTGAAAAGGAGAATAATATGTGACCTTCAGTTTAAAGGTACGACGATGATTTAGTAGATACTGCCTACAGTACTGTATCACAAAAGTCTTCTGCTATATTTGAGTAACATAACTTCTTTGTTTTGTTTTCGCTGTGTGCTTATATGAATACTAATGAAAACATAGTCAGCACTGTACCCTCCTGTGGCACAGTGATTTATACAGAGCTTTTATACAGAGCCTTTAGGTGGCATCTTAAATACTGCCCTTTAAAATGAATATCCTGCAGTCCATGCTGATTTCTACCAACACCACCCACAGTCAGCAGCTTCAGTCTTACTTAAATGCAGGTTACTTTTTATTCCTGGTGTTTGGACCGTCCCTCATACTGTCACTTCTGTCTTGCTGTTGGTGACAAAGTATGGTTGTGGAGGCATGTAGCGAGTGGTGTGCAGCTCCTTCTCTATGATGCACAGTTTCTTTTGGCCATAGCTCTGTCTGAGTCCCAGTGTGTTTTCCCAGGATCTCAGCCCTCCTGGGCTAACAGCCGTGCTGGAGCTATAGCATAGCGACTGGGCACTGCGGCTCCTCGGGCTTTTGTACTTGTTGCCATTCTGCTTTCCAGACAGCTGTCTGGGCGGGCTGTAAGGGTTGCTCGGTGTTGGATCCAAATCCATAGGTTCCATGGGGAGACTGGTTTTGCTCGTCATCTCTATCATTGTCCGCCGGTTGCTATAGAAGCCGTCATTCGCTTTCTCTGCTAAAAGATAAAGGTAAACAACATAATAGATCTTTGTCATTCCTCCCTTCATTAGCCATCACAGTATGTCCTGTGTGGAGAACCTGACAGTCAGCTGAAAATAGTCTCAACATCATTGTTAAAGATTGTTGCTAAAGCATTCAAAGCAAAGAAAAGAAAGGACATGAAAGAGATACTTTGTAATTTTATATTCGTATCACTCGTACATATAGGCAGCGCTAGAGAGGGGCTTGGGGGTGCTGAAGCTACCCCTTGGAAAGCCAAAGCACCCCTCTACCACCCAAGAAATTTCTGTGGTTTAATAATATATTTTGACTTAATTACATTTGAGTCCTACATTTCACTTTTAATGAAGACAGCCCAAAAAACAAACCAAGTGTGTTTTAGATTTTTTTTTTTTAAAGGATCCAGAATCAGGTAGTTTTATTCAGCCAATGGCGCGACACTCATTAAACTTTGACCTTAGCACACTTCCTCTTTAGCCAGAGCGCAACTTTTCAAGTGTTCCCTAGTTTTAATAAGGTGTACTGGTGCTATTTATTGGGCTGATGAAGATGAAGATTTAGAAATGCCAATAACAAAAAAAAACAGTCAGAGGAAGAGGACGTGCCATCATTTAAGGAGTATATAAACTTGAAGAAATTATGAAATTGCATGATTTATTTGCCAAAGAAGTTGAAGTGATTCATCAGCACCGGTTAGTGTCTGTAGGTTTTCTTTCCAAGTTGCATTCACTCTCAGATTCACCAAAAAGTCAGGGCAGTTTTTATGTAGCTTTAGAGGTTACTTCCTTTTCAGAGACTTCACACCTTTAAGGAAGTGAAAACATGCATAAAAATATCTTTTCATATTGTTCCTTCTTGTCATACATTATATAAAATTAATTTTGTGCCAACTTAAAGATGGTTTATAACATTTTTTTGAAGCTATTTTAAGGAGGCCACTAAGGCCTCAGTATGGCATAGATGCTCGCCAGTTGAATATTGCACAACATATCGTGTCCTCCAAAATCATCTACTGCACTGTGCTTATGTAGCCACTGTTGTGTGATTGTTTTTTTTGTCTTATATCAGGCGGAATCCTTGTCTGAAAACAGTGTATGCTGGAGCACTGATTTAGCCTTAGCATAGCAAGCTTCATCATTAGCCTTTGATATTTCCTGCAAACATTCCCAACACTTTTAATGAAATGTCTCTTAGATAACCTTTACTGTGATCACTTCACTGGCTGTGTGGTGCTCGGAGTTTGACACACTGAGCCGAATATAAATATTTTTTTCTCATGCAGCAGTTGCATCTTGTCACATGGCAACACCTCATTTGTGTTTTGATTGCCCCTGATTGTCTTCTGTCTCCTGTCCCCAGTCTCATTAGCTAAGATTTGCTCTATTTTTAATTTTTCTGCAACGATCGGTTTGTTTGACGGCTCTTCGGCGGAGAAGCTTTAGCTGCTTGTAAGAAATACAAAGAGAGGGAGCTCGGCCGTGTGATTGAATTCACTGCACGCAGGGTGATAGCTGTCATCATGTCACCATGACCAGGTCAGTCAAACACAGCTAACTGATTCTGCAGGAATCTATAAAAAGACTTCCACGCATCAAATACAGAGTCAGAAATACCACCTCTTCACACTTTGACTCTGCATTTATTAACAGTTTCTCTGCTAATTACTGAAGTTAAGGGCAAAGACAAAGAGGCTTGTTTTGTGAAAATAGTGCTCAGGGAATTTTAGGACTGTTTGGCATTTCTTATAACACTTGTGATTAGTATGAACATGCATGTAAAAATGGTTTTCATTTAAAAGGGAAAAGTCAAAATGTAAATACTGAAAATAAACTCATCTTATCTCAGTGCCCTTTTCAAACAAAGGGGTTGAAGACAGTATTTATTTTCTTATTTGTCCAGGCAGTCACTTCCAAAATTAGCGCGCAAGAAAAACAACAAACTTGCTTCTATAAATAAACTTTCAGTTCCGCTCTCGTTTGGCATTGACAGACTGGTGATTAACTGACAAGGATTTGTGTAAGCCAGAGATCTTATGGAGATTCAAAATAACTAGACGACTATTTAAAGAAAAGGGCCGCTTTGAAGTACGCTTATAATATCAAATGTTGGCAAAGCAGAGTTCTTGCTTTGTCTGAAATGAGACAGAAAAACTACCAAAGGCAGATTGACTCACAGCGTTTAAATGCTGAACTAAAAGGAAAGAGATGGCAGACATCATGTCTCTCTGTCTGTCTGTTGTGACAAGCAATATTTCACACAAAATGAAGCAGAATAAATTTGATCAGGATCAAATAAAAAGTTTCATAAGGCCTTTCCGATGCAATTTTGGACTCATTTACTTATAAACCAATCTTCATCATTTCACTGATTACAGGCTCCTTTAAAAAAAACAACCTGGTTAAATATTCTAGTTGTGTTTATATAGGTTGTATGATGCTTAGTCAGAACAAATGAAGAAGTGCAACTCTTGGTCATTTTGGCTCTTGGTTAACCTCTTCTTACCTACAGCCTTGAGTGTTGCGTATTTGTTGAGGTCCTTGACAGGCTTCAGTTGTTCGTACGGGCTGGTGATCGATCCCACAGGCGGGTAAGGCTGCGCTATCAAAGTCGATGCTTGAACCAGGTTGTTCATCTGGTTGTTATCTAAAGGAGAGAAAGCAGAAACTCAGACACTTTTATGGTGTTGGTAACAATGAATTTCTCTTGAATAGAGAATTGATCACTGCTGGTAAATCTTATTGATGCTCCACTGTTTGAAACCCCGCCCACTACCCTCTACCAATGAAAGGCGTCTGGTTCAACCTTCACAAGAGGACCCTAAAGACCGTGACACAACAAGGAGATCGTCAGCGGTCTGTCCTAGTTGGACAGTCGGTAAGCGATTGTCGCCCTAGATTTTGCAGTGTGTCCAGCTCCGTCGCTACGCGCCAGCCCCCGTCTGCCTTTTTTCAGCCAATTTGACATGTGGTGTGGTCGTCGTCTGTGCGGTTGGTCAGAGGAATCACTCTGATTGGCTGTTCAGAGGTTTCATTTAACTCCAGCTCTCAACCTTAATATTTACAGTCAAATTCGGGAAAGCCCCTTGAGCATGCTGCTGTAGTATCCACTTTCACCCACTGAGTGCGGTTTCTCCTTATTTCTCACCTCCACCTCGTCTTTTCTTTGTCCAATAAAAGACCAAGGGCTGACAACGCCAGTGCTATTTCCAACTTTTTATGAGACATTATTCTCGATTAGTACCTATAACACGAGTGGTGAGCGACAGCTGTGTGAAAATGGTCTTCTCGTATCATAACAATGGACGACCGCTGCCTGCTGGCATGGAGAGTTAGTATGTCCTCTCACACTTGCGCAGAAAGTACATGGTGGTTGGCCGTCGGCTGTAGTCTTTGCAGTGTGTACTTTTTGGCTAAGACAAAGGCAACATGAGGCAATGTGAGGTGACGCCACAGTCGGCCTTCGTCGCCACTAGTTCTTTGCCGTCTGCTTGGCTTTTCATGGCCTTAAGTCTCCAGCTAGACTCTTATCCTCTGCGGCCCCCTGGTGGTGAAATGAAATACCAACCTCCATGCAATCTGCTGAGTCCCCTACCACTTTCAAGAAAAAGCTCAAGACCCAGTTCTCTCATGAACACCTACACACTTAATGATAGTGATGACACAGATTAAGGTGATGATAGTGATGATTACCATGATATTTAGATTTAGGTTTTGATGCTGAATCCTCATGAAAAACTATCGATGTTGCTGTTCATTAGTGCTTACTGACGTTGTTTCCTCATTTCTAGATCCTTGCTTGTGCCGTACCTACTCTCAGATGTATATCATTTGGATAGAAGCGTCTGCTGAATGAATTGTAGAATAGTAAAATCTTAGCTCAATGGGTTGACGTGAATATATTGTGTCTCTTCACTTGTTTCTTAAGTAGGTTTTCTTGGGGGGGGATTCAGCTGGGAAGGCATGGCTGCTCCTTGTAAAAACTCTACAGTACTAATCCTACAGTAGACATCTGCTAAATTAAAGGGTGCTCAGCAAATAGACTGGCCCCCTGCCCACTGGCATGACACAGCAAACAGATGTTCAGAGTGTCTTCACAAGCTGTAATCCACAAGATGCAGTTTCAACAGCATGAGTAATGTGTTATATAGGACGCAAAATCATAATGACGTTTACTTTGAAGTTCCTGTAAGTGGGGTAGGTTTCAGGTGAGATGATTAAAAGCATACTGCAGAAACTTTCTTTTTTCCACAGATTTTTTTCTTGTCTTTTTTTTTTTTTTTTTTTTGCATTTTTGACAGGAAAAATGATTGATGACTGTTAAAAGAAAGTAGGTTGAAGCTTATTGTCATAAATATTAAATGGCATAAGTAAAGCAAAGAGATAGTGGTACCTCTTTGTCTACAGGGGCCGCCAAAATCGACATTGACCTGAAAGATTCTTATAGGAGCTTTAAATATCATGAAGTCAAACATTAACACTCCTGATTTCATGGTACAAACTGGCTGGCAAACGTTGTAAGTTTTGATTCACTTTGAGTTCAGCACTAGTTCATTGTGATCTAAAAGGTGAATTACTCATCAATGCAGTTGAAAGAGGTTAAGGTTTACAGTCTCTAAAGTGGGAGGGATACAGCAGCACTTGACTGCGTCTGATAAAAACAGATCATTAATACAGAAAATAGGTTAATTGGGCTCCTATTCCCCACTGGTCAGCAAGAAACTTTATTAGTGTGCTAATTAATTTTTGAAAGTCTCAAACTATCAATGCTGTCTCATGAAGTGATGCAGAGCTTTGACTTCGACTTTGGGGTGTGATGAGTATAATCAGATTTCAGGGTCATTAACCGAGAAAAATAATTGGTGGTGCCAATCTGTGTCCGCTTGTGAAAAGCTCCTATGTTGTCCTATTTGATTAGTCTTCCTCAATAACTGAAAATCCTGATCTTTTTAAATTTGATTTAGAAATGATTTCCTGATTTTTTTAATTAGAGTTTTATGCAGCTGACCATCTCTCTAATAAATGTCATGTCATAGTGGAAAGTATGTGACTGCTTCTCTAACAAAGAAAAATGTCTAAAATGGTAACCAGAGATCTGTGCATCAAATCTATGTGTGTTACCTTGTCAGGTTCCTTTTCTGGGCTTGTTGACCTGTTTCAGTTTCGTACATTTCATCTTAAGTGGGCCATGCACACATGCTCTCATTCAGGGTGGACTTGTTTAAGATAGAAGTCCAATTAGATTATCTCCCTCCGTAGAATACGATAAATAAACTTCTTCACTTTCAAAAGGAGAACACATGATTAGAAATGCTTCTTATTAAATCCTGGACATATTATTATGGTAAACAGACCTTCAAAGAACAAATTAATATCATGCAGTTTCCTTTCAGATAAGCTGACTAAACAAGGGAAACCTTTTTATTGTGCTGTTTGGTTGTACCGTGCACCAAGCATAGCATATCAATCAATCAATCAATTTTTATTTGTATAACCTCAACTCATAACAAGTGTTATCTTGAGACACTTTACAAAAAGCAGGTAAAAGACCTTACTCTTTGTTTTTTAATATTACAAAAGAGCAGGAAAAAAGACCTTACTCATTGTTATGTTACCAAAAGCAGGTAAAAGACCTTACTTAATGCTATATTACAAAGACCTGTTTGAGAGAATGTCACCAGACCGCAGTGTTTACATCTGATACTCTGGTCAAGGTGAAGGTCAGGGCATCCCCTTAATGGAAGAAGCCACTGAAAATAGATCATTTAAATAAACAATAATTTTAACGCTAACTGCTTTTTTATATCCATTTATTAATATAAACTTGTGTTTGTTGAGTCTGGCTGGATATATCAGGAGTGTCACATTTCCTCTAGAGCCTAAAATAGAAGCGATTTGAGGACAGTGCTTTTGTTAAGATCCGGGCGCAACACTGCTATTTTCAAGATGCCAAACTCAATTTGAAGTGAGGTGCTGCTGCATGTGCTTGTTTATCTCCCTCTTTTATGTTTCTTTGACTTTGTGATGACTGGGTGTCATTGTTGCTTTTACTGTTGTCAGATTCAACCCTTTTTTATGTCAAAAGTAGGCCACTGCTGGAGACTTGTAAGGTTAAAGACTTCCACGGTTGTTGCCGGAAATAAGCAAGTTAACACTCCAGACACAGACACTCGCTCCCTGGAACTCATAAAAGATTTAAGAGAGTATTTTTGGAGCTGTGTGCCCCTAAATAAATGGTACAAGGAGAAGGGCGATCTTATTTACAGACAGCCTGCTTTCAAGTTAGTGATGAAAATATTCTTTTCTCCTGATATTTCTGTCCAACTCCTGAAACTCTACACCAATACTTACGTCAGATTGTGCTGGTTACTAATGTATATAAATCAAACTAAAATGTCAGTAAGAGCAATGTATTTTACTCTTTTAAAGACAGACTATTGTCAAGCATATCATAGGGTGTACAAAATGTATTTAAGTAGAAATAAAACACTTGGAATGCCCAAATATATAAGGGTCAAAACATGACTGTGAAAAGCAATCACAGTTTTTTATTAAACTGAGCATTCCTTTGAAAGTGTATCGCTAGTCTTTTTAAAAATATTTTACATAAAAAGAAACAAATTGTCTGTTTGTTTTTCACTTTATTCATACAGTCAACAGCCCCTGAACACATTTTTCTGACCAGTAGAAGATTTTTCTTCCCAAAAGAGCATTAAATGTGGCAGTTAGTGGATCTAATAAAGGGCTTAAAAGGACAAGCTGTATACGTATCAAACCAACCTGATCAAATCTGAAAATAAGACAATAGCATGCTGACTATGCTGATGTGACCAGCATGATCAGCAAGACCAGCATACATTGTGTTTTGGTGCTGGTCTGACCAGCATCAAACCAGCATGTCCAACATGAAACAACATAGGCCAGCATCAAACCAACATTGACCAGCAACAAACCAGCACAGACCAGATAATCAGCATAGACCAGCAGCATACCAACATAGACCAGCATAGACCAGCAACAAACCAGTAAGGACCAGCAGCGAAAAACCAGCATAGACCAGCAACAAACCAACATAGACCAGCATAGACCAGCAACAAACCAGTAAGGACCAGCAGCAAACCAACATAGACCAGCGAAAAACCAGCATAGACCAGCAGGAAACCAACATAGACCAGTAACAAACCAGTAAGGACCAGCTTCAAACCAACATGGACCAGCATAAACCAGCATTAAAATAATGCTGGTTTATGCTGTTTTTTTCAGCAGGGACTGATGTTGTTCACTTTACCATTCACCAGAGCATTACTGTATCAGTCTGTCATGGAGCTACAGCTGCAAAATCCACATAATTACCAATAGAAATGGCATTAAAAGGATTTAAATTGTCTAACCACTATTTGTCACAATAAAACACAACATCAATATTTTTCATCTGTCCAGAGCTGTCAATTAATTTCATGCTAGCTGTACCGAAACATCCCATACATCCATTGTTTGGCTCCTAAAATGATCTTATCTTAGCTGATTTATTCCCTTTACATGAGTAAGAATGTGTTTTTCACCACATACATCATCTTGCTCTCTATTTACAGTCAAAATATCAACCCATTGACAGTCCTTGCCATGGAGAATGTAAAATAAGTCGTTTTGGCTGTGTGCTATCATTTTGTCTGACACCTATGGAGGCAGTTTCAGACATTAAAAATAACTACATAGAAAGAGTCAATCTTAATGCTGATAGGCTTTGTCAAGCACCAAAAAACTCCTCCAGATTGGTAAAAACTTTTTTGCTTAAACTTTGAATAAAAAAGGGTTCTCTGCACTCTATTTGCTAACGGCTCCAAAGTTTATTTGTTGTCAGTGTTGTAATGGTGATTGGTTACAATGTATAAGTATCGGACATTTGAGTTTTACAGTTGGAGATACATTATATGGTAGGTGGAGGATACAACCTTGATAGTCTTTACATTTGATGTCTCACCTGTTGTCAGATGTAATGCTGCTGAAATAAATTTCTATCTGGCAGTGAGGAAATAGTCTGTCATGCACCAGTGAAGTGTTGGCACTGAGCTCACACTTTGTTCTCTCTGGCTTGACGCCTGAACTAAAAAGAGGCCACACTTCACAACTGCCCCATGGGCGCTCCTTCGGCCAGCAGGACATGAACGGCTACCAAAACAGCTCACACAGCAACTCTGTACTATTGGTGTCTTGAGAAGAATGGGAGCAGATTTGTTGTCATCTTTGATAGGCAGTAGATGAGGGGAAAGGAGCTCCATCCAATCACTGCACTGCACCACCACCTGTAATACACAGTGACTCTCGTAGCTGTGGTAAAGTCACACCTGCTACTTGGAGGCTCAGCTGGAGAGGACAAGTTCACTACAGATCCATGTGGTAAATTCTTTTTTATCCCACCTAACAAGGACCACTGTCAAGAAAACTATAATTATCCCTTTGCTGTTGCCAACTCTGTTCCACAGAATCCCTCCTATACGTCCCTGTACAGTTTCGATCTCCACAGCCAAGGTCACAAAGCAAAAAGTAAGCTGCAGCTTTTTCATCTTCAATCTAATAACACGGTAATAGATTTCACATTTGTATCTTACATTTCAAAGAAAAGCATCGTTTTTAATGTTCATATATCCAATTCAAACAACATTTATTAACAGGCTGTTGACTTTGTGAATAGCTACAAATATCTCGGGACAATCATAGATTTCCAAATTGACTTGATTTCCTATTGATTTGTGACGCAGTTTGTAAGAAGGCGCATCATCGTCTGTTTTGTCTCAGAAATCTCTCTCTCTTTCACGTCCATTTTGTTTCATAAAGGTTTCATTGAATCTGCCCTGTCTTTTTCTCTTGTTGGTTTGGTAACCTAACTTTTTACAAATAAAAAATGATCTTAATCAAATGGCCAAGCAAACTTATAGGTGAGTTTAAGCTGAAGTGATTGAGGGTGTTTTTATAATGTATTCTGTCTGGTCTTTTTAACCTTGCATGTGTATTGTTATGTGTTGTATGTATCTATTGTAGTATCCAACTGATTAATCGGCCAGTCGATAATATCGCTGATATTAGCGTATCAAGTGTCTATTGTTATCTGCTAACTTTATCGCAGATATGCGCCGATATTACAAGATTTATTCACCGGTCAAATAGCATTTAATTTGAGTATCATTGTGTTTCACTAGCAGTTATCTTACACCAGCAGAGTGTGCTTTATGGATTACAACAAACATCATCCCTCTCCAGAGTGTTCTAGTGCAACTTTTTGGCCAAGACAAAAGGCGCCTTGCGTCAACGCCACAGGCGGCCTTCGTCGCCACTAGTTCTTTGCCGTCTGCTTGGTGTGTCAGGGACTTTAGAGCTCCTGTGAGGAAGACTAAAAGACTCCAGGTCTCATTTGCACCAAGTGCAATTAATATGTTAAACAACAATTAGCCATTTGCTACTCTTTTTGCCTCCACTTTGCACTTTAATAACTTGGTAGGAATTCCCATTTTGGTATAAGCTCTTGACTGATTTTATTGCGATGCTTTGTTTGGTTTTATATTTTGCTGTGTTGGCTGATTTTTTTAATTAGTTTTGGTTTTTGTTTTATGGTGATGTTGTCCTTGTGTTTCTTGTCTTGTGTGTGCTCCTCCTGCAACCCAAATTTCCCATTGTGGTATATAAAATAATCTGAATCTAAATTAATGTTGTCTTCAGTTATTTTCTGCCTCAAATAAGGAGGCAGGTATTAATGTTTCCAAAGAATTTGCATTAACTTTGAGCAGGTGCACTACCATCAGTGTTTCCCCTAGGTTTACAGCGTTGGGGGACAAAAAACCCAAAAATAAATCTTAAAAAAATTAACATTACTAATTTACTTGACCTACCCTAATATAATTGTAGGGGAAACACTGACCATACAGTACAATGATGTCATGTTATCTCAAAACAGTCATATTATTTTCTCTCATTTACTCCAGGGACAGGGAGGATAAAATAGGATTTAAAATCAGGATACAAGTTCCTCTGCATTCTCATCCACAGTTTTATATTTTAGGGGTTTTCATCACATCACGTTTGCTACTGATCGTAAAGTACGCTTCTGTTTCTTGTTGTAAACAGTTTATTTTGTCGACCATGCATGGTCGTTCAAACCCAAGTACTGACCTCCACACTTTAAACAAAAAAGATTCTCTAATGTTTGATAAAAAACTTGTGTGTCACATGTTGGTTCATTGGATTATCCTGCACATAGAGTCTGTCAGCCAGTTTGAATGAACTGATAATTATTCTGTGAGAAGGTGAGATAGGACAGAAGCTCTCTGATTTTAGAATGATTAATTTTTATCTTGACAGTGCCGACACCTCACTTCAGCTGATTTAAGGGAGCAAAAATAAATCACTGCTAAAACAGAAATAAAAAAAACTTTCTGTGTCTTGAAATAGAACTGCTCTCAGGTTTTGAAGGTAGTATGATGAAGTATACTTCAGATAAAACACAGTAGTCTTGTAGCACATGTAAAATAAAAACAAAAAAAACCTGTCAAAGTCTGACTTAATTGACCGGAATTATTTTTTTTATATGATTGTTGTGCATAAGTTTGCGACAAATTCATTTACACAAGCTTTTTGTCCAAAAAACGTGAGGATGTTTGACACTGCAGATTAGATTGAAGTTAAACTCACTCTTTTTATCACGCTTATTCGCTTGATTTGAAACAAAATATACATTTTGAGATATGATGACTCTGAATAAATTACAGCAATGGGCTGTTCGTTGAAAATGTTTGTAGCGTATATTAGCACAACTAAAGCCTGGTAATGTACAGTATACTGAAGTCATTTGCAAAAGGCAATCATCTGCCATGTGTGCGAAGAGCGGGCAGGATTTCACTGCGACCACAGATTACACCTGGTGTTTTCACTAATTATCAAATCTTCCTGACTAATCAGTGAATCACCTGCTGCTCAAAATGAGCACTGAACATGGTAACTTCTATAGCGCGTGTCATAGCATACTGCATGATATTTAAATCAGTCTGTATCATACATGTTTATCCTGTTAGACATTTACTTTGGAGCCGATATTAAGATAGATCAGGTATGTATGAAAAATATTAAATGCTGCTTGACTATGTCTTTACATTTCCAAAGTGAGATACCATTTGGCACAATTACCCAGCCTGCAGCGAGTGAGAGGGAGGGAGGCAGGGACACCTTTATTGACTGGAGCTGTCGGCGCACTGAGCAGGTTAGCATTATTAAGACCTCTTTCTTTCACTACCTCTCAGTGTGGGTGTATGCAGGAGCTGGTGTTGATGAATGGGAGAGTAAGAGTGAGATATAGTGCTAGAAGTCTTACTGCGTACGTTAAGTTTGCCTTTGAAACAAAGCTCCAGGTTGTCTGTGGTAATTAGTGTTAGTGTACTAATTGCTTCATCAGCAGGACTGAGGATGAACATTTTTTTCTTCTAGTTTCATGTCTTATTCATGATAGGCAAGCGAACATCTTTGTGTAAGATGTACGGTGAGTATCTGTTGAAACTGGATGTGGTGGGGGATTTATGTTGGTGCAATTTTGTTCATTAAAAGCAGTCGGCAGCAGCGTTAGGGGAAAGATAATTGGAACCCAATATTTAAGGCAAACCACCCCGTCATGTATACACGTTTGTAGGTGTACAGCTAGGTGTTCTTTCTGTTGTCGCCACAGTACTTACGGAGGCTGTTGACGGTGACTCTGGTCTGTATGTTCTCGTAGTGCTGGCCAAGTCCAATGTCGTCCGAATGATCTGAGGCAGGATGGCGGATAACGTGTGCAAGAGCTCTGGAAAGATGAAGAGCAATCTCAATGAGGAAATCATTAAACAACAAGTACAGTTTATGTGTAGGCCAGCAGTGCACACCTGCATTTGATAACCTGTCCTCCAAAATGAAAAAGTGATATTTTTCTTTTAACCATTCTTTTTAACCAGCTTAAATTCATTATTGGAGATTTTTTTGTCAATTGACAAATCTAAGTTAAAAAAAAAAAAAACTGAGATTGGAGTTGGAAAAAATAAATCAGCCAGTAGATCTGTAGCAGGACAGCAATGGTGGCCGGAAACTGAGCAGTCAATAGCATTTAAATTGTATGTCTTAGTTCACACTGCAAGCCTAAATGCTAAGATCTGATTGTTTTGTTATGCTGTTCATATTGCTTTTTAAAATGTGTCCTGGATCAGACTCCTGCGGGAATCCACATATGAAAGTGGCCCAAACCTGATTTGAAAATATCACAGCCTAAGTATTGTGGAAAGCTACAGTGGTAACCAACCTTTTATTCCTTGAAGCCCCCCACCACCCCCCATCTTGTAGCTAACGCTGCTCACAGTTTGCACTTCCACAACAGCACCATAATGAAGTCCTGCCATCAGAATGCCTTTGAACTTTTTAAATAGCATCCGTAAAGGTGTAATATTGGTCTCCCAGTGTGTTAATTCGAGAGAATGAGACGACTCCTGCGAGCTAGTTCAGGCAGTGAACTCGAGCTGCACTGATTTCACACTTGACATGCATCATTATCCACAATCACCTGACAACACCTCCTTCCAATTAGCGGTTTAATTAAGCCGCAAGATTGCCGGTCTCTCCCTCTGCTCTTTCATTGTCAGCTCTGACCTGCAGCAGTTCTGCACCCTAGCTCAGCCCGACCACGACCCCAGCACCCACCTGCAGACTCCAACTCCGGGGGCCAACGATATCATCCCATCACTCCTCAAATTTCTGCATGTAAATTAAAACTGTGAGGAGTGATTAGATCAGAGCATAGCTGCCAAACACAAACTATGATCTGCTGAATTGAATATTTCAAACAAATACAAACATGAGTTGTCTGACTGAACTGTAAATAATGGTGGATAACGCCTGAGTGACGTCACTCATCTGTTAACTGAAGGGGGCTTTTGAAGCCCGTCGCTGGGGATGGCCTACTGGTCATGCTTTCTGTCAACCAAACGTCAGAGTAAGGGCTGGAGCTGAGGCGGGTTTTAATCCTTTTGACAAATTAGCCCTTGAACAGTGTGTACCGATGAAGACAATAACTAATCAAACCATTTTTTTTTTCAAATTTTAACCAGGCTGTGAAAATGTTAATTTCACCGCTGTGACTTCCTGGTATCTTGGAACCGGCCTAACGGACACTCGACGAACTGCAGTTTTTTGCACTGGGTTCATTTTTCAACACCAGAGGTTGCAGCTTCATTCCCATTGCATTAGGGCGATGCGCAAACGCGAGAGGAACATGAGCGGCACCGTGTGTGTGCACACAAAGGGAGCTTCACATACACATCGGTTTGGCCTAATGCCTTTTTTTGCATAACATGGTACTGCTTAGCTCTGTCAGATTTCTTTTTTGAGAAAGGGCACATGTTTTGGATTGTTTCTGGTAATTTTTTCGATATCACCTCGGTCAAGGTTCCAAGTATAAACCGAGCAGATTTTACAAAAAGACTGTGGCGAAACCACTGATTGGTCAGAGCGCCACTTTGGAGCTGGGGCATTAATGACATGGCAGCCTATCCCGGAATCTTCATTGTCTTGTCATGACGATTTGCTTACAATAACACCTACTTTTCCCACCAAGCCAAGCTGGTTGTCTGCTCTGTGCTTGTTATAAGTGTCCAGTTATTTTATTATGGTGCAGTGTGAACCAAAAACATGTGAAGGAGGACACTTTATTTTATTATAAAGCATATTTGTTGTTATTCAACTTTATCAATTGAACCTTAAATCAATGGCTATGTGTCTCCACGGTGCAAACATTTTTCAGGCCATAGTCAGACTGAAGGAGAGAAACAACTTCAAGTACAAGATGGTGCAGTTGACCCTGTGTTGGTCAAATGAACAGACTTGTTCCCTCAAAATGTCCAAACTTACAATTTGCTATCCTAAATTTATGATTTTTTTTTAAACTAACTTGAGTATGCATGCCTATGAGAATTGTCAGACATTTGCTTTTTAACTAGTCTTGAGTTTTGATCTTTGGAATAGACATTAAAGAAGTATTTTCATGGCGTTTCAAACAATCCAACTTGTTGACTTGTTGCTTTGGGTTCTTTTGATGAAACTTTAGGTTTTATGAAACGGAATTTACATTAAGGATCAGTAAACTAATTCAGATATTTCAATGGTGAAAGTAGTTAATGATAGGACAAAATATATATAATTCTTAAGAAGTACTAAAGACAACAAAACTAGGTATATTCAAAACCCACCTTGACATATCATCTTGCTGTGGACGGTGCGTCTTTTCCAAACCGAGCTTGGTGAAAATTCCAATCAGTGCAACTATGGCCACAACCCCGCATATCACATACACAATGAGGTTGGTTTTATCCTTCGCATTCTCCAGTGCCGGGTCCACTTTCGGCGGTGGTCTCCCTGTCATCATCCACGGCGGGGTATCGTAGTTCTTACAGTTGGTCTGGTCCAGGCGGGAGCTTCTGAACGCGCAGCAAAACCTGAAGCCACAGGTGCCGCAGCAGTACAGGTAGCTGCCCGTCCTGCACACGAACGGCGGGTCCCACTGGCCCATCACGTCGTAGTAGCCACGGCACTTGTCCTCCATGTGCATGCTCTCCGTGACTGCGCTCTCCACCTCCTTTGAGTCGTTAAATCCGGTCACAAACATGAAGTCGTCGACGCTCCGACCCTGCTCACCCTCCGCGTCGCACATCATACCTTTGACCAAAAAGTAGCCGAGCAGCAGCTCATTCACCCGCATCATTGCTTACTTTTTACGTCCCTCTTGACGCCTTAACAAGCTCTCATGCGCCCAGACGCATCTTCTAAGACGACGAGACACAGCCATGCGTAAATTCAGGAAGGCTGATTCCAACTTCCATGCGTAAAAGCCCCGTGCGCCCTCTCCTTTCCTTCAAAAAAAACAAAAAAACGTTCAGGCTCTAAGCGCTGGGAACCTGAGCAAACAGTCTTTGAGGGGAGAGATAGCTTAACTGAGCAATGCACCTGGCTCTGATGGAGAGAGTCAGACACCTCTGAGGCTTTTTCACTCCACAGAGCTTGTCACAGATACAGAGAGAGAGAGAGGGAGAGAGAGAGAACACCAAGACACCCGCTGACTAGGGGAATTAGGGGGAGAGAAAGAGCCAATGAGGAGATAGAGCTATGTGTATGAGCTTTATTCACATCCATGTTTTTGTGTACATATAATTTCCTTTGATTTAAATAATTAGAACACCATAATTCCAAACACGGGATTGGAACCAACAATCACTGCCACGGTGATTGTCTTAGCTTTTGGCTCTTTATATAAGTAGTTAACATGTAGGTTTCAGGTAAACATTTATTTTACTTCAAATATTATATATTTAGTGTCGGGGCAGTAAAATAGTCTGCTATTGAGTTATAGTGAACTTCGTTGTGAACTCTGTTCTCTGTCAAACCTCTATTTTTTTTTTTAAATGGGACATTTTTATTTATTCCTTTTTTTCCCTTTTTTTTACAATAATGTTTAACAAATAAAGTAGTAAAATATAGAAGAGGTGTTCATGCACCTGTTATTTTAATCTTAAAGCATGAGAGACTTAGTAAAAAGAGAAACACTGACAGGGACCATATTTCTGCAGAATGAGTTATTTTTATTCTGATGCTATACATTAATTTATCTACTCACATAAATCATGCATTTGGAATGCTTTTAAATTGTTTTTGGATTATTGTCTGGGACAAAGACATTTTCAGACTATGATCGTATTCATTGATCATGATTTGTCCCAACTCTCAAGAATGGGTGCAGGATACGATTTTTAATGAAAGGCTTACATTCTAGTGTTGATTAAAAACATTAATATACACTATTAGGACTTCTACTGAGGTTAAGGGTTGGAAAGCTGTATTCTGTCTCTACTTGTATTATGTGCAAAAGCCTTTTGATCTGCTTTGATCTCATTTTTTAGATTATTGTGAGGAAAGGGAAGATGTGTCCCAATCTTGACATCCTTCTCTGGGAACTAAACATTTAAAATATATAGAAAACGTCCTAAAAAGTGTAATTGGCCAACATCATGAATAAGGTTAAAAAAATGTGTCAAAGACCTGAATGATATAAATGATTATGAAGACAACAATTAATGTATTTTAAGCGCAGAAAATCAATCTCATTCTGTTTGAGAATAAAAAGGAACAGTAAACTATATAAACGATCTCACCCTAATAAAGTCCACTCCATGAGAATATGTTCAAATATAACAGTTTAAATAAGAACTAACCCGCCTCTGAGCTGTTTTTCGCCACCTCTCCCACACTGTCGAAACACAAGTTATTTTGCTTTATGGACGCACAATATTGCAATTAATTATAGCCACTGCATGCTGTTCAGACACCTGTGCTGGTCAAGCTTTATTTAAATATACCGTCATCTCGGTTTTCTGCCTGAATGGTAAAAATGACACATACTTCACCAACTGGTGCTACTTATTCTTTATTATCCATGAAGTACGTTTTAGACATTTAAATACAGCCTGAATTGTATAAGTGCTGGTAAGGTTTCTGTATTATTGTGATTTGAATGGAAGTTAAATTAAACTTACCAATATTTATTGGAATCATATGTAGAACAATTTATTACAAATTTTGTTTTATGCAACAAACTGTTTCAACCATGAACCCTCAGCTATTAATTACTGGTGATTTAGAAGAAACGGAAACAGATGATGAAGGGGCCTTGACAAGCAGCGATCGTTGCCATTTTATTTTTAGAGAACCTTTTTATCTAAAATTATGATTAGAGAATGGAGGCTCACCATCTGCCACTTGAGAACTCGCTGTTTGATGTTTCACAGTCTTAACCATGAGAGGCTAGTTTTATTTACAATTGGCTGTCAAGGGAGTTTTTGCTCGTCTTGTCTTTGTGCATCTTTAAAGTTCCCTATAAATAGTTACAGTCCCTAAGGATCAAACTTGAGCGTTCTTATAAAGTGAAAACACTACAGTTTTAGTAGAACAAGATATACTCCAGATAGGGACATTTTATTTTGGAAAGTTTGATATCAAATTGTAAACTGATGAGTTATACCAGGTGAAAAAAGCATACTGTAGTAATCATGTTTTTTTTCCAGCCCATAGTTGTATTTGTTAATAATGAAATCCTTTAAAACATTATTGAATAGTGTACTGCAGCAGCTGGATCAAAAAGTGGGCAATGGCTTTTCACAAGGGTGGCAGTGGCATGTGCCGTTAGTTTAGCAACGTGTGCAGGAAGTACAGTGGTATTTGCTGTGGCCGATGGGGGGGCTAGCATCATAATTATGCCAACTTAAATGCAATGTAGTGTAAAGGAATGTATGTTTTATGATACCTCTGGACGACAGAAAATGTATTTCATAGCCATATCCTTGCCAATTGTAGTAAGCTCATTGGAAAGCTTATCTCGGCTAACAAGGTTATTGTTAGCCTAGCGACCATAGCCAGTCGGGGTAAATGATAGCAGAAAGTGCACAATCATAGATTAAATCATGGAAACCTTTACCTTTACCACTTTTTACAGAGACATTGGGCTGCTTGTAGTGATTATACCTGAAAATGCTTAGAGAAAAGCGCTACTTTCAAATGACAAAAGGGACGGGGGGAATGTTATGTATGCACAACGGCTAGTGCCGCTGGGATAGTTGCGACAGTCAGCAGCTTTACAGCAGTTAACGTGTTTTGTGATGTTGTAGGATGAGGATATAACATTAGAGACAGGAATGGAGTTTTCTTTCCCACCTCTCTCTCCCTTCCTGGCGCTCCTAGTTTCAAACGATTGGCATGAATCGTTTGAAACATATATCATGTCCGTCAGCCTGGAAGATGCAGAGGAAGCGTGAAAGAAGGCTAAAAACTGAATCTTAATATGTCAGTATTATCAGACTTCACATTTCAAACTTGATATGAATGACTAACTGACAGGAAAGAGCAAACGGGAGGATCGTCATGCACTACAACTATTATGGCATTATTACTTTAAGGTATATTTTGATAAACTAAATAATCTGGCAGAGTATCCTTAGTCTGATACAAGCACAGCCGTTTTAACAGCTTTTGACCTATTAATCAGGGATGTAGCCATGCTGACGTGCACATGTGTTACCTTGGTTACCAATGAAATAGGTTACTTGGATGGCCTTACACAGATCTATGCTTCCTTAACAGATTTAGCAATCAACAGATGGAATTATGAGTATAGCTTAGTGTTTCTAAAGTTACGTAATGCTCTAAATAAAGCCCTGTGGTAGTTTTGTTTTTTCGTCTCCCACCACCAGAGTCTGCTGAAAAGGGGACCAAGACTAACAAACAGCACCACAGTCCACTTAAAGAGTGTGATGACTGAGATTAAAAAGATCTCAGTTGATTGACAGCTATCAAAACAACACAAGTTAATCTAACTTCCCAGACAAAACAGATCTGCGTTTTGTGTCAATACTCTACAGAATGTGATTGCAGTAGTACAACATGTACAAGCATTAATGCTGAAAGTGTTTAACAGGATTAAAGCCTGATAAATGCATTTGTTTTGGAAGTACATATTTGCCAAAAACGCCATGCTTTGGGTGGGTAGCACGTGGGCAGACGAGACTGTTGTGTCCTGCTAAGAAAGAGAGGGAGACCGATTAGCTGTTTAAAGAAAGGGGAAGTGGCCGTAAGTAACATGAACATTCAATTTGAAATCACCTTCTGCCTCTTCCTTTGCAACCATGTATCACTCTGCTAGCCCCTCCAATCAGATGACGCACCAAACATGAACGCCAACTGTTGTCACTGAAAACTATCTCTTCCACTCCGCTTGTTGTGTTGGCCTCAGAGTACATAACTGCTGACAGCCAGCTGATCACTATACATTTAAAATGGCTGTTGTGCTCTCAGTTGCTGTGATTGGCTAGTTGACCCTGATTGACACTATAATGAGAATATTTACCTTTATGTCAATGCTACGTGTAGTTCAAGGGAATCAGACTTTCAACAAAAGAGCGGAGAACAACATACTGACTGACGGAAAATGTCATGCAGCCGCTTCAATATGTGCATGGGATTGTAGCGGGTGCATGCATACACTCTATGCACCATGCAGCAGTCACATCATGTAAACGTCACTACTCCTCCTATTGCCTCAAGATGAATTCTCCGGTGAATATCCTGCTGCGTTCTCACATTAGCGCACTCTGACTTGCTGCGGAAAAATACTCAAGGTCTGGCAGGAGGAACTCCGGGTGAAGTCCGAGTGAAAAATCCTGCTGTTTGCTGCACACACACAAAGATCCTTTGGCAATTATCAGGAGTTTTTCAGGAGTTTTCTGAAAGTGTGAAAGCCCTAAAAGAATGCTGGAGAAAAAGCTCTCTCTTTCTTATTCTTCAAGCAGGTAGTTCCCTGCTTCTTGAGTATTTTAAGTCATGGAGTCAAAGAGTTGGTGGATTTTAAAATGCTTCACTAAAAACCGTTACAGAAAGAGCATTGAGTCACATTATCATTTATACCAGCGTGAACAGAAGGTTAACATTCAAGTGGAGTGGGTTTGATGTCGCTTCAGTTGTCTTAAAAAGTGGAAAAGCTGCAAATTCATATTTAAACTTCTCTTTCACAAAGGTTTGAATCTACTTTTGACATTCCTCTTCATGCATCACTTCTCTGTCTGCCTCTGTTCTTTTTTTAAAGTCCAGTCTAGTCAAATCCTGTTCATCAGAGCTCTATATTTATCTGTTCTCTTTTAGAAGTTGATCTCACAGTTTGACAATTCAACAATGGTGTTTTGAACAAGTTGAAGGGAGTCAGATTTCAAAGTGTTCTTTTCAGAATAAGATTGATAATACAATTGCGCTGAACATGTGAATCAACATTTCTTCCTTCCATATAAGTATATAATCATAAAATAACTTAATTTCAAATGTCACACAAACAGTACATCTGTAAAATAACCCTGTCTTTATTGTTCTGCAATAGCAATTTAGCACTGAGAACTTTCCCCAACAGTTACAACTTCTGTCTTAACCA